TTTTTATTGAGGAAACATAGTGTCCCTCACTTCTATTATATATATTTCTTAAATTGTAAGTAATGTTTTTTAAAAATTACGTTTGTTATAATATATTCTTGTGTAACTGTGTAAGCTAGCATTTATACTTGATTAATTGGTGTAATGCATGGATGCTACATAGGGTCTTTTTGCTGCACCAGTCAAATGTAACTATTAATCATCGCATAGTCTATGTAACTATGAAAGAGCATAAATAATCTGTCCTTACACCATTGTACCATTAATATGATGAAAATTTTATAAGCTTTCCTTAAGTCCTTGTTTGAATGAGATTTTGTTGAACTTCAATTAGCGTTCCACGTAAATGTGTGATTATGCTTCAAACGGCACGCTTACTCTCTCTCTCTCTCTTTTTGAAATATTTCAATCGATTTATCGCTTCGCAACTAATTTGATTTGGGGCGAGTTCAGGATTAAGATTAAGACTTTAAATCTCTCTCAAAAGTGGTACTGAGGAAATTCGAACACATGCTCTCACCCTACTTGCTCAGCTCTCATGCGCCAACTGAGCTACCACCATTTGGTACGGCACGCTTACTCTAATTATTTGTCAAGAGGACGAAAATTTTGATTTGATCAACATTCGATTGGATGAATTGCATTTAATACAAGCATTACCTCAAAGTTGTTAGAAGAGTTTATTCTTCATATTATGATGTTGAAGCTTTCCATTAATTAAGGTCAGAGGTTATATTTAATTATAATCATTTTTGTTTATAATTTTTTATAATTTTTTTTTATTTTTTGATTAAAATTGAATCATTGGTTATCAAATAACGTCAAGTGAGAGTCGTTAATCTAATTTTGATCCAAAGATAAAATAAAGTGCTGCTAAGAGGTTGTAAGTATAAACCCTATCTTAATTAAATAGTCATGAAATTCTTTTTTGCACTTTCATTTTCTTTATAATTAAAATTACATTTTAAGTTTAAAGAACTCTTATAAGAGAAGTCATAGTAGATACATAAAGTTATTTATAAACTTCTACTCTTTTGAGAGTTATCTTTAATATAATATTCCATCGTCTACTACATAATCAGTAAAATCTAACATTGAAGTAATGTATATGACGGAAATCTTGACAACTTATTAGTCTGAGATTGTCTTCAAAGTTCAACTTTATGGTATATTCTTATTAGATTAAAACATATTATTGTATTTGTACATAACATTCACATTTAATTTATTTTTTACACTTTATAATAATTCTATATCAATCTTATAACATTGTAATAATAATATGGAAAAAGTGTGTGTCATTTTAAAAGAGAAAAGTTGTGTCATTTTAAGTGAGAGAAAGAGATAGATCACGGAGAAGAGAGAATAGACAAAAAAAAATAAAGGTACGGGTCTCATCTCTTTGTGAGAGTGAAATGACACAAGTGGTATCATTTAAAAGGACAAACATTTTCTCTAATAATATAGGATAGAAACAAAATTAAAACTAACTTATAGACTATATTAACTTTTTTTATAAAATCTGAATTAAAAGTAGATGCGGTATATGTAACAGCCCCAAACCTTGTAGCAGGATATTGTCCGCTTTGCCCCGCGCACAAGCACCTCACGGTTTTACGTTTTGGGTTACCCCAAAAGGCCTCCTACAAGGAAAGGTATCCACACCCTTATTTAAGGCATGTTTCGTTCCCCTCTCCAACCGATGTGGGACATAACATCCTCCCCCACTGGGAATACAGCGTCCCCGCTGTACACACCGGTCCAGGGTCAGGCTCTGATACCAAATGTATCAGCCCCAAACCCTGTAGCAGGATATTGTCCGCTTTGCCCCGCGCACAAGCACTGTCGAGCTCACGGTTTTACGTTTTGGGTTACCCCAAAAGGCCTCCTACAAGGAAAGGTATCCATACCCTTATTTAAGGCATGTTTCGTTTTCCTCTCCAACCGATGTGAGACATTACAGTATATACAAATGAAAATATATTTTGACCTTTTTTTTTATAAGGAGGTTATACTTATAAGATTTTTTGTCTTATAACTTCTTACAATGATTTTTATTATGAGGTGGGTTGGCAACGGTGAGGATGAAATGAATTTTGTCTTTACCAATAAATTTTTTTTCTATACAGACAGTCAGAGATCAAATCTCTATCAACATATTTAAAAAAATTCGCTATTTACTAACTTGCCTACCTTTGTTTATGTATCCTTTTAACTATATTGCACCACAATAGTACTTTAAAGTCAAAATTAGCAACAACACAAGTCACCAACCTAATTACCCACCCTTCTCAACTTCCTCCCTAACCCACACAACGCATAAAACAACAAAAATATATTATTAACTGTTCATTGTAGATAATCTCTCTCTGTATCTACTCCTTTACTAAAAATAGGAGAAAATAGGATTTAAGTGAAAATAATAATAAAAAAATAGATAAAATGGTAAAAGTTATTTATACTATTTTTTTCCAAATTTAATAAAAGATATAATGAAGTTTCAGTACTCCGAGAGTATAGAAGAAATTTTCCTCCATAATATGCAAAGATAGAATCTATACATTTGATATTGAGTTATGTACTAAGAACATTTGTGCACAATAACATTAAGAAAATGACATTGAAACAGTGATCATGTGTAGTTAAAATTTCACAGTAATTTGACGGCATGGATGATGAAAATGAGGGATGAATCTGATAGAGCAACGCATGGATTTTCAAAATCAACATACCTACTATTTCATGTGTCCTCGTAAAAACAGTTTTGGACCAAAAATTTGTGGACGAGATTGTGTTGGAAATTTTTAACTAGAACATTAATTTTAAGTATCTTTTATGTGCTTTTGTATATAAATTATGTGCGGGCAAGAGATAAACAAATGCTTATAAATATTTGAACTCATAAACTTCGATTTTTTGACTCTTTTGCCCCTCATTAATTAATTAATAACTAATTTGTCCTTGATCCAGAACTATCCACCAATCTGCCCCCTTTTAGTCGACTACATTGCTTTTTTAGTCGAGCAAATGGTCAAAATTCAGAATGTGGACTACACGAAATATAGTCGACTAAAAAAGCATCTTGATCGACTACATTTTTGGGATATTTAGTCGACTAAAAAAGCATCTTGATCGACTACATTTTTGGGATATTTAGTCGACTAAATATCGACTAAAACCCTATATTTTCCATGTTTTCAGTCTCATTTCGATTGTTGTTGTTGTGTAACCCAAAATAGCTCCCTTTGTTAATGTGTAATCCTCTCAATCCGATTGTATTTCATCCCACCATCTCTACAGCCCTAATATTGTGAAATCATTGTCATTGCACAATTCCAACCCCCAAAATCCGAACCCAAACCCCCAATTTCAGAACCCTAGTCCCAATTTCGTGAGGAAGATGAGCACAAGTCCAAACATGTATGTGACAATGATCTACTATGATGGAAAGCATTATGAAGGCCCCAATGGTGTTCAATTTGAAGGAAAAACGAAAATGTTGAAAATCAAATGGGGCACTACATACAATGAGTTAAAGGGGAGAATTCAACAAAATTTGGGTCTGCAAGGCAGCCAATGCGTTCAACGGATGATTGCCAGGGTAGAGACTACAGTTGGTAAGGATGCTATTTACTACATTGGTAACGATATATGTGATGATGAAGATGTCGAATGTGTCATAGATGCAATTGTTGACCAAAAATTTCAAAATTTTATTGAGATATATGTTGAATTAGATTGTGGTCAATCTTCATCTGCACCCATGCATATAAGAAGTGAACCGTATTTTGGTCATGAAGAAAGAGTAGTCAATTTATCTGCACCTGCACCTGTCATAAGTCAGATAACACTGCGGTAAATAGATGAGGATGAACAGGATGCCGATATGGACAGCGACGAGGACGGTGAACCTGAGAGTGTTATTCCGCTAGGTGACACGTCAGATACTGACGTAGAGGGTGCAAAAAGGGGGCAGGTTGGTGGATCAAGATGTTTTTTTAGTCGACTATATTTCGTGTAGTCCACATTCTGAATTTTGACCATTTGCTCGACTAAAAAAGCAATGTAGTCGACTAAAAGGGGGCAGGTTGGAGGATAGTTCTGGATCAGGGGCAAATTGGTTATTAATTAATTAATGAGGGGCAAAAGGGTCAAAAAGCCCATAAACTTCAATACCAAACATTTCATCAACTTATAGAAATTAATGGTTTATAATTGAGATTAATATTTTTCATGTTATAGGCATAATTTTATTTCCTACACACACATAAAAATATGTGGATCACATGTGGGGCCATGTGGAAAAAAAAAGAAAAAAAAAACATAGACCCAACATACTTTTATATACGTGTAGGACATAAAATTATCTCATACAACGTAATAAACATTAATACTTTTATAATTTCATTAAATTTATGTCCACTTGAAAAGACGGGGATACTCACTAATTCTAATATTCCTTTATCCTCAACGGGTTCTGCCTTCAAAGCAAATGCAAAGAATATAAACATCCACTCATGGATTTGGAGAAAAAATAAAACAAAAACCAATCCTATTCAAAGTTGCATCTAAGATTTAAGACTTGCAAGCAACAAATGTACTATTATTCTATTGGTGTATAATGGCTCCTAGAGATAACAAACAATATTGGACTCATATGCTTTTGTGTTTAAGAATGACAAAAAAAGAGTACTTAGTATATACTTTTCCTTTTCCCCCTAACTTGGGGACTCAAAAGTACATGTTATAGGTATTTTTACCAATTTATTTGTATATATTGTTCAAATAATCATTTTGATCGGTTATTTTGTTAAAAGAATCCCTACACACCCGCCTTTTAAATCTTGAGAATTCAATTTTCCAAGAAAAAAAAAAAAAAAAAAACTTGAGAATTCATGAACCGGTTAGCCATAACTTAACTTCCCTTATAAATACTTGACATAGTTTCAGTCTCCATTTATACCTAAAACAAATAACACTAAAGTGCATTTTTTCTTAGGATGGAGCTCTTGTGGAAAGCTCACATGAGGATACAAGTGAGACCCTTTTTTCTCTTCTATCATTCAATCTATTCAAAGTAGCTTTTTGGTCTTATTTATGCAAATCTTTTCTGTATATACTTTTAAACCTTATGCAGGTAATTAGATTTGTTTTTGCTCTCCTTTTGGTAACACTGCTGAGTTCAGATGAAGCTGAGAGCAGAAAAGCCAACATTATTACAACTTCCTTTGAGTACAGTGCTATAAATTGCAGAGCTTATAGTGCTTCATTGACTGATTTTGGTGGTGTTGGAGATGGATACACATCCAACACAAAGGCCTTTAATTCTGCAATCAATCACCTGAGTCAATATGCTTCTGAAGAGGGGGCTCAGCTTTATGTTCCTGCTGGTAAATGGCTTACTGGGAGCTTCAGTCTCATCAGTCACTTCACACTCTATCTAAACAAAGATGCTGTTCTCCTTGCTTCTCAGGTATCTCATTTTCTGTTCATTAATTCTTTCATGATCAAGACCTGGTTAGCATTGATTTTGTTGCTTCTGTTTATTCATATTGATGACTAAGTAACCACAAATATCAGTTATTTTTATGTGATCAAGCAAAATTTATTTCTACCAAAGCCTTCTACATCCCCCAATAAAAATGTTTTACCTTACATCTTTTAGGATCAGAACCTTCCATCCTCAGTTGTTTTGCTTTTTATGAACCATATAAGCTGAAAACCTTTCATCCTGCCTTTGATTTAGCTAGTAGTGTTATTGTTCCTCCAAAGCCTATGTGAGTAGTGGAAAAAGTTATTCTACTGATTGTTGTATTTGAACTGATGCTTTTGTTCCACCCACTTGGCCTCATCTTCCATTTCTTGCACCTTTCCTTTTGACAGAATTTGACAAGAACTATTTCCCAAGTTTGACTCTGCAAACAAAACAGGCAATAAATTAAGTTAGAAAGTGATTCTCTAAAGCTTGCATTGGTTGAATGGTAGAAAACATTATATGGGTCGACTTCATTGATGGCAAATTAATAATATATTCTTGGTTTAGTACTATGGCTACAATTTCCTGAATGTCATTACAAAATAAAATTGAAGTAATCTATTATTTATCACTGTCATAGACTCATTTTTGAAAATGGAAACAAACGTTTTTAAAGGGATTCATTTGAGTTAAAAATGAGGTAAGATGTCCAATAAATGAAATACAATTATGTCACTAGGTTCCTCACTTCCTACTATTGCTAGAAAACTAGGCTATCAAAGCAATATTGTTAATTAACTCATGAAAGCAATATACCAACTCCTGAACCTTTGATCCCCTAAAAACTATTTACATACACACCCTTTAATTTGGGTTCCATAGGAAATAAAACTTTGATAGAAATGTGCCATGGTGTGGTCTAATACGTTTTTGTCTTCAGTTTACAAGGGAAAAGTTTTTGGCACTTTGATGTTACACTATTAACAAGAGTTTTTCTTTGTATTATTTTATATATTGATTTAGGATATTACTGAATGGCCTGTGATCAAACCACTCCCATCCTACGGTAGAGGAAGAGATGCAGGAGCGGGAAGGTACACCAGCCTTATATTTGGAACAAACCTCACTGATGTTATTGTCACAGGTATGGAAAAAGTTGCAGGAAACAAATATCAACCCAGTAGTTAAGGGTTGGTGAAACATTTCAGCGAACATGTGCCACGCATCAAAAGTTTGAATTCCACTTCGCTAAAGTTTACTTACTCTCATTGAATATATTATTTATCTAATCTATTAGGCTTAATTAAATTTTATTTTGTTTTGTCATTACATTTTATGTTTGTTCATTTTAATCTTGTATATTTCTAGTTAATTATCTAATTTGTTATTTATATTCAATGTAGTCTCTCAAAAGCTACTTCCATTCAAAGTAGACATTTTCTTTTTCTTTTTCAAAATAGATATTTTAGTTGTTTGAAGTTACTAACTCGCGTTACTAATGATTGATGAAAAATGGTTTTTTTTTTTATATATAATAGTTGTTCCTCACATATGAAAGTAAGGTCTTAATAAGACATACATTTTTTTTTTGTTACTAGACTGATAAATGCTTTGCATATAATATAGACTCATATTTAGCTTCGGTTAATTTCAAATGGAACTCAAACTTAACAACATGTAATTGATAATCTAATTTAGATAATAGTTCATTGTAGGTATTATATTGAAACACAAAATAAAAATATTAAAAACTCAACTTAGCCTATGTGAACATGTAATATGAAGTGGTTAATAATAAAAGTGAAGTACCTTAATTATTTTGAGGTGATACATTATTGGTCACAATTAGATTGCTTCTTTAAGTTATAGCTTCTTTATTTCATAATACAAGCTTCATCCCCTTTTTTGGTCAAGTGTGATTGCTTAAATGGTTTTTTTTTTTTTTTTTTTTTTTTTTTTTTTTGAAATATCAAGTCTATATCATTTAAAAATTTATTATGAATTTGTTGCTATATTAAATTATTAACTATCAATTAAATAATTTTATCATTGTTAGTGATTGTTGATTATTCTTAATATGAATGAGATTATGACCATTGTGGCAACAGGGGACAATGGCACCATAGATGGGCAGGGAGCATTCTGGTGGGAACAATTTCACAAGAAAAAATTGAAATACACTCGCCCGTACCTGATTGAATTAATGTTCTCTGACAACATTCAAATCTCAAATCTAACGCTTCTAAATTCTCCATCATGGAATGTCCATCCTGTTTATAGCAGGTAATCCTTCCCTTCTCATATGGTCATATTCAAGTTTTAAAAGCATTCAAAATCATATTTGACCTTTGTAACACTAACATTATTACACCTTTGAAAATTCTCTTCCAACTTCAAGATTATAACAAAATTTCCAACACTATGCAGCAATATTATTGTCAAAGGCATCACCATCATTGCTCCTGTCACATCTCCAAACACTGATGGCATCAACCCAGGTTGGTATCTAAAGATTTATTTTAGAATAATGTATTCATGTTACAAAATTGTGTATAATATAGCCCCCCAAAAAAAAAACAATTTTACTTCCATCTTGTAGTTTCAATTTATTGGATATGAGAATTGATAAATGCAAATAGAATAAATAACTAATAAAGAATATAAGAATTTTTATATTTACACTTCTGTAAGTATAAAAACTCTTACATAATTTATTAACTATTGATTCTACTTATAATAACTCTCACTTGCAACAAATTAGAACTGTTGAATGCAAGTAAAATCAAGAGTGTAAGGGATTATAGACTTATAAAGTAGTGTAAATTTAGCCCTCCCCCTATATGTATTTATTGAAGTTGAGTGGATTGATATTTTTCATTTTTTCTTTTTTTGGATTAGATTCTTGCACAAATACAAGAATTGAAGACTGCTACATAGTTTCTGGGGATGATTGTGTGGCAGTGAAGAGTGGCTGGGATGAGTATGGCATAAAGTTTGGGTGGCCAACCAAACAACTTGTGATCAGACGGCTGACATGCATTTCTCCATTCAGTGCAGCCATTGCCTTTGGAAGTGAGATGTCAGGTGGAATCCAAGATGTTAGAGCTGAGGACATCACAGCCATCAATACAGAATCAGGTGTTAGAATTAAGACAGCAGTAGGGAGGGGAGGGTATGTGAAGGACATATATGTGAAGAAAATGAGCATGCATACTATGAAATGGGCATTTTGGATGACAGGTAACTATGGTTCCCATGCTGATAGCCACTATGATCCTAATGCCTTACCTGAGATCAAAGGCATCAACTATAGGGATATTGTGGCTGAGAATGTGAAAATGGCTGCTAGTTTGGAAGGAATCTCCAATGACCCCTTTACTGGAATTTGCTTTGCCAATGTGACAATTAAAATGACATCCAAGGCCAAGAAACAGCCATGGAAGTGCACTGATATTCAAGGGATCACAAGTGGGGTGACTCCTCAGCCATGCAATTTGTTACCTGATCAGGGGCCGGAGAATATCAAAGCATGTGATTTTCCCACTGAGAATCTACCAATTGATGATATGTTGGAGCTTAAGAAATGTACTTACAGCATCAAACATGAGTGAGTTATATGTTAAGAAGTACCATATAGTTATTTCTTTTAAGGCTTGTCTTCCTCGTATTATCCAGAAGTAATTGCTCAAGTTGAAAAATGAATTATCTGTCAAATTATAGTAATGCAACAAATTTCTTTTTCATCTACAAGTTTATGAGATGGCTTGATGCTGTTGAGAGCCTAAGTGTTACAATGCTAGCAGTAATCAAATTTAGCTAGTTTATTTTTGTTAAGAGGACTAATATACAGATTGGTCAGACTTAAGCAAAAACAAGGCAAACGTGGAAATTTTATTAAATATTTTGAACTCTTAACAAACCATTCCATTTTATGTCTTACAATGGGATAATGTCTGTCCCCACAAATGAAGAAGTTTTCTTGTGTATTTTCCTTGGTCTAAAGGATAAAAAAAAAAAACTGGAAGCAACAGTGCACTACACTATGGTCCCTAAGTCTAAGCTGAAAAATAGAAATACACCAACAAGGAGCAGGGCTCTTGAATATTCTGCTGAAACCTTTGAGTAATGCAGCTCATCTTCTGATCGTTTCTACGGTACATCTCAACAAAATGATTATCCAAGAATCTGAGATGAGACTGAAATGAAAGACACCTCACAACAATCTCAATGACTCCGACATGTTTCATATCTTGTGGAGAACTGCAACTTCCCAAGTAGTGCCATAACTTGTAAATTAGTCCATCATAATATTTCACTAAGCATATACTAAGTAAATACAAAATCTCAGTAAATTGGTGGATCAGGATTGAAATTCACAGATTCTCTCCAGATAAGTTCCTTGATAACTTCTTCAGTGAATGAAGGTTGCTCAAAGTCAAAACTGAAAGGTCTGGCACAAACAGGTTCCTCATTGATATCATGGAGAGGTGCCATGTATGGGTGGCACAATGCCTCATTAACTGCAAAGCATCAAGAAGTAGGGTACAATCAATAAAAATAGACAAAGAGAATCACGTCATTTATGAAAGACACTGTTATATATATATATATATATATATTGCAAAGAAACATGGGAAAAGATAAGAATTTTAATGAATTCACAATACTAGTTGGATTATATAGTAATATTATTACATAATGACCTAAATGTTAAAAGGGTTTAAGACAACCACACAAATTTTCACCAATAATGAGCATAGGGCCCACCTAAACAAAAACAAACTTGTCATATCTGGTTTTTTCAAACTAAGACATCATTGGAGGTCAGCAAACACTACACAAATTTACAAGCGAAACTTAAAAACAAATTAGAACAAAATTTGATTTGATATCCTCAGATTTAATTATATCAATATTTGATTTGATACAATAGCTGTCCCTCTATCATTCTGAGTCATATACAGCTCCAGGAACAATAAGAAAAAAATTCATTCCATTTTACCTGTAATGCGCCTGTTTGGATCAAAGACAAGCATCTTCTCTAGCAAATCAACAGCACCGGGAGACATGTTGGGAAATCTAGCAGAAAAGTTTTGCTTTGGATATTGTGGAAGCTGTTTTATGTATCTACGAGCATTATCATTTCGTAGAAATCCAAGGCTAGCTTCATCAGGTGAACCTATCAGCTTTTAGAAAGCAAGGAAATTTGTCATATTCGAGTTAATTTTAAATAAAAAGAGAAGGTCTGAAAAGGATCAATTTTAAAAAATCCTATTTAAGATATCATGCTAATACCTCTGTGATCAGTCTCAGCTGATGAACATAATCTTTGCCAGGAAAAAGGGGTTGTCTTGTTATGATTTCACCAAATATACAACCAACGGACCATACATCAATTGCTGCTGTGTATTCTGAACTATTAAGAAGCAATTCGGGAGCTCGGTACCATCGAGTAACCACATACTCAGTCATAAAATCAGTTTCAGATGTAGTTCTAGCAAGACCAAAGTCTCCAATCTTAAGGTCACAATTGGCATTCAGTAGCAGATTGCTAGGCTTAAGATCACGGTGTAAAACATTTGCTGAATGTATATATTTGAGCCCTCGCAACAACTGATACAGAAAATACTGGAAAAAATAGATCTTATAAGTTGTTGTAAGATACAAAGAATAAGAATTATGCTACAGTGCCAGAAGCCTTGGAGACCAAAAGCAGTTAAACTTTGCAGACCAGAAAGTAAGAGAAATGCCATGCACTGTTGTTACAGTCACAACATTGCACAACTGCAAACATGGCACTATCTTAGTTTGGCAGGAAAAAGTGAAAGTGGGGCCAATCAAACTCATGGAACCACATAGCGTGTGTGCAATATTGCACACTTAAGACCACAATTTTTGTACGTAGTTATGCAAAGGTATACGTTCAGCATTGTTACTTAATCCCTTTATTTTTTGTTTTATCTTTAGTTTGTGCTAAAATACAACCAAAGGAGAAAACATTAATCAAGCCATTAGCTATAAGGTCTTTCAACTAGGTAGATTAAAATTTATGCTAAAAGAAATAGCTGAAGTGCTAACCCGACAATGATCATCATTCAATGGTTGATTGGAACGTATTATTTGATTCAAATCCGTGTCCAATAACTCAGAAACAATGTACACATCATTGAAGTTCTCCTTCTGTGGAGGTCGTATAATATCTTTAATGGACATCACCTTCATTGGAGAAATAACTAATCAGTAAGCAGTCTACTTTGCAAATTGGATATTAAAGAAGATTTTAGAATCAAAATCCAATGAAGAAAATCCAACCAAGCTCCTTTCAGGAATCAGTGAGAAAGTATAGCAGGAGACTTGCTGACAACTAGACAAGTATTTTCTAAAACTAATATCAAAAGATTTTACCATAATCTGAATTTTATAAAAGGGAAACTTGTCATGCTAAAGATAATCAATCTGCATTTAACCACAAACAAAACATTTGAATAAAATTTGAGCAATAACATAAAGAAAATCCTACTCAAAAAGCAACAATTTGATACTCTCCATGATCTAATTTTCTTCATTCAAAAGCATGTTTGACAATGCTAAATTGAGATTGTAAGGATATGAAGATCAGACATTTTAAATTGCCCACTGTGCTAAGACGTAAAAGTTTTCAAGCCCAACAGAGCACAAATTTACACATCAAGAGAAAATATTTTTTAGTAATGTATAAGTAACAAAAAATCATAATTGCACATCATGCCACAAGATTCTGCACTGTTGTTTGTTCAGTAACCAAAAAAAAAATGTTACAAATCAAAGCTTTTACAGATGTAACAGAAAATGGGTGAAGAGTAAATAAATAATCGGCTGAATATGAAAGTTCACACTTTCACAGATGAAAATAAACAATTACATTGAGGGAAAACAGGATCTAGATATGAGATGCAAAGTTAAAAAGTTCATCAAAATTACATTCTCATGATCCATGTGCCGAAGAAGTTTAATTTCTCGTAAGGTCCTTTTGGCATCTATTCTATTGTCAAATGCATTGCCAACCTTCTTAATGGCAACTTCCTCGCGTGTCTCCGCATTTACAGCAGCACTGAATGAAACGAGAAATTAATATCTGTCCCTCACATTGTTGATAACAGAAAATCTAGGTCACATGGATGAGAAAAGTGACTTTTTGTCAAACCCCAAATTATAAGAAACTATCCACAACATATACATGGGACTCCATTTAATTAGTTTTAAAATACCAAGAATTGTGCTATTCACAGTATCAATACCAACTAAGCACACACAGATACCAGAAGAATGATCCCATCTCATTTTCCACCTTATGTCAAGCATAATCGTAGCATCAACACATTTAATAGGACAACAGAAACAAAATCGGAAGAGATATGAAAGTAATATGATACTTGACTAAGAAATACTGGCTATGATACTTGGCTGGCACTACAAGATCTATAACAAGATTATCTAAGGTGTATTACTAAATGTGCAAAACTGGAACAATAAAGTAAATTTCACAAGACTAAACATTGACTCTTTCACTTAATATTCCAATAAAACTAATATAATGATCAGTAACAATGGATTTTAGAATCACAAATCGCAATGATCAACTTACCAAAACAACCAACACAACGATTCAGCTCATGAATCCCATCAAGACATGGTAAATTCGTATCCTATGAGTTAAAAGCAATGAAGAAAGAAAATAACAGTTTGAGGCTTTGATCTAAAAAATGGTCTTTATCATCACACCAAAATAACCAATTCAAATTGAAAATAATCAACTAACAAATGAAGCAAAAACTCCACTTTACATTTAAATCTAAATTAGTAGTAGCAAAAACTACTTACTTACTTTCAAAGTCAGGTAATCCAAAACCAGAATATCAAGATACAACATAGCTCAAAATAAGGGCAACCCTTTAAAAACAACAACAACACACACACACACACACACACATACAAAACCACAGACCCAACAAAAAGAAAAAGAAGACTTTTTTACTTACCAAACAATACCATAAGCTCCTCTACCAACAGGGCGAATAGGAGGGACATACTTCTTTGAAACTTCGAAGAGGTTACCGTAGATGTTGTACTGAACATAGAGTCCACCATGAGTGGGTACCCCTCTGACGTTATGCTCAGCTGACACAACAGACATGTCTATGATATGAGAGCTCTTCAATGTTGAATCTCTCAAGTCAAAACCAAAAATGGGAAGAAACCCAATATAATATAATTTAAAAAGGAGCTAACTTTGAGTTTTCTGACATTTCATTTTAGAGACAAGAAAGGAGAGAGAAAGAAGAGAGAGAGAATGGGATATGAGGCTTTCCAAGTGGACACGCTTATGTGAACACAACACACCTTTCTCCACTTTCTCTTTTTCTTCAACATTGGCGTGCTGTCTGTGATCTTGGACTTGCAAAAAGGTACGCCCCAAGATATTAATCACTTATATTAATAATTAATTTTGCATTCACAACATAAAGTACATTGTTTATCAACACATATTTCTAGTTTAAAAAAATGGAATGGGTTATATTTATAAATTTTTTTGTTTATAAACTCTTACGAATTATATTATATATTTTTGGGAGAATACTAGATTACATTATGTTATGCTCTCATGTTTTTTCAGAAATACATAATGTTATGCTCTCATGTTTTTTCAGAAATACATAATATAATGGGTTCTATTTTTTTTTATGTTGTTGGAGATAAGTATCTCTTATCATAGACACATGATATGGTGGGACTCACTATCCATTAAAAAAAGAAAAAAAATGATGGCACGACTTTTTATGTTAAAAGAACATGAGATAGTTATCTCATGTAAAATGAGACAATGATTTCGTTAATATAATTTGTAAAAATTTATAAAAAAATTTATAAACGGATCTTTGCTTAAAAAAATTAATGCATAGATAACATGTTATTTTATTTATCTCAAGAGCTAGAACCTATGTAGCACTGATATCGACACGAGACACGTGACACGATACGACACGACACTCCGACACGTTAATTCTAAAAAATATTAGATTTCGACACGTTAGAACAGTTTTGATATTAAATAATATTTTTAATTTATGTAATGTATATTATATTTAATATTCAATAATTTAACAAAAAAATGAAACCAAACTTGTAATATTCATCAATTTTGCAAAAAAACATAATATATCCCAAATATTTATATTAAAGTTAATAAAATAGTAATTGTAATCCAACAAATCTAACAGTTGGAACTAAAAACTCAACGCAACACAATCCTCAACACAATCCTTGAACCTTTTTTTGAATTTTCATAATGCGTGTTAGAATGTCGGGGAGTGTCAGAGTGTCGAAGAGTGTCGGACACAATACGTCAGGGTTTTTGGAGTGCCGGTGTTTCGTAGGCTCGAACTAAGTCAATATTCTTTTCTTCTTTTTTTCTGTTAATCAAAATCTGTGCGTTTTCTTATGTTTCTTGGTCAGTCTTTGTTTCTTTCTTTGTCTTTTGTTTTCATTCCTTATTTCCATCGTCGTCCAAAAGTTGGTCATTGAAAATGAAAGTGAATAGAAAAGAAACTTCCCAGGGTCCGAAATTGTATCCAAACAAATTCCAGAGGTCAAGCCTTGGAAATATAGGTCTTCCTCGCATTCTTATGTTCATGTGAAAATTCAGTGATATATACTGTCTATGATTTTGTCTAGTTGAGACTATCATTCATTCCTTGACGATTATTGTATAAAATTTAATGATAAATTTGCCAACAGTACTAAGAAGAACCATAAAGCAACATCATACTGAAAGTAAAATTATAGGATCTAAGTTGCCCTCAAAAAAAATTTCAACTTAAATTTGAAAATGATTTGTTTCTCTTATTTTGGTTCATATTTTTTTGTTAAGAAAAAGATGCTATATGCAAAAAGAGTTTTAAGGTTTTTTTTTTTTTTCATTTAAATCCGGTCAACACTTGACACAAAGACAACAATTTCAATAATTATGGTCCCAAAAATAAAAAAAGATACAGTTTCAAGTTTAACTAACTTGGAAGAATGAAAAAATAAACAACTTGACTGTTTATTATTTTGGGTACGGACTGTATGTTATTTTAAGTATAACTAGTGAATTACCTATGCGATGTTCGGGAGAAAAAAAACAAAATATTTGTCGTCCGCCGTGGTTGGTTAATCGCACTGCAAACCTTATACTTACAAAAACTCGTGTTGCTATCTTGTTTTATATTTTAGATTGAAAAAACTACAGCATTGACACATAATTTTAGAAATATCAATCGTAAAAAAAAATTGCTATCCAGAGTGATCAATATTATGGAAATCAAATATAGTTATCTACTCGATGAGTTATGGAAAAAATAAATACGCCATAGTTGACTATGTTAAAAAGAGGATGGCTAAAAAGAGAAAAATGCATACAACTTATTGCTAACTATAACAGTCACTAATAAAATCAAGGTAACAAACAGACTAAGCAAATATGGAATTAAAAGATCAGCTTGTACCTATAATCAGAAAACACTATAAATTCAGTATCATTCTGGAGCAATCATTGAAGGGATGAGTTCAACACATACCAAACATGTGATTTTCTATGTTTATGCATTTCCAGGAATATCCTCTTCTACCATCATATTTAGGCATGTGATACAAAATGCAAATGCTCATTAAATAAATTACGCTAATATGTTAACTCCAGAAGTAATAGTCTCAGCAAAAAAAATGGTTTTTTTTTAGAACCCAAAAAACGTTGTCTGAAAGGGATTTGAAAGAAAATTAATCAAATGACCATGTATGAGTCATATTTCTTCCTTACACTGGAACAAATGTGTCTAAACAGCATCAAATTAATACACATGCTAAAAACTTGTAACAATATAAAGAACCCACGATGATAAATTTTTAAAAAACAACAACATACATTCGGGTCCACCAAAAACGTAAAGAATGAGGTGACAATAGCTTCGCTGCTTCAAACACTTGAAACATTATATCTTGGCTCATTATATGACTCTAAATTGTTTTTTTTTTATGTTGACCTTAAATAACATGAATTTTTCATTAAGAACGTTAAGTTTTCTTGAATAACATTCCAAATTAGCACCCTACATAAAAAACTCATTCAAAGTTATAAATCGTGCGATGCACGGGAAAAAAAGAATAGTGAAATTTTAATTATAAAAAAAGAATAGTGAAATTTTAATTTAATTACAAAAATATGTTGGTGGGCCGAGCCCAGTTTGCCACCTCTAACTATTAGCATGTAATAGGTTTTTATATTTATCCTCAAAAAAAAGCTCTTATAGTTGCGTCTAGGTTTTTATATTTTATCTCAAAGATGAACTTTCATTTATTACAATTAGATTTACAAAATAATAATAAATAATTTTTTTTGCAAGGATATGTGTCGTTAGTATTTGAAATTTTATAAATTAGTATTTACAAAAATTGAAATCTGAATTAGGAATTTAATTATAAAAGAAGAATAGTGAAATTTTAATTTAATTATTAAAACGTGTTGGCAGGCGGGGTGGGCAGGCCCTCTGGGCCAAGCCCAGTTTGCAACATTTAACTATCAGCATTTTATGTAAATAATTATTTTTTGAAAGGATTTATGTCATTAGTATTTTAAATTTTACAAATTTGTATTTACAAAAATTAAAATCAGATTTAGGAATTAATTATAAAAGAAGAATGATGAAATTTTAATTTAATTATAAAAAAAGTGTTGGTGGGCCGGCTCTTCGGGCCGAGCCCAGTTTGCCACCTCTAACTATCAACATGCACTAGATTTTTATATTTATCCACACAAAAATATTCTTATCGTCACATTTAGGTTTATATATTTTATCTCAGAGATAGACTTTCATTTATTACAATCATATTTAAATAATAATAATAAATAATTATTTTTTGCAAGGATTTGTGTCATTTGTATTTGAAATTTTACAAATTTGTATTTACAAAAATCAAAATAAGATTTAGGAATTCAACATGATAATAGAATTAATTATACATACTTTTAAAAAATAATTTTTTTCTCTTTTAATTTATATTATATACATATATATATATATATATATATAATTTTAAAATATTTATATTAAGTATTTTCTAAAAAGATTCTTGTACGAATTTTTTTTCCTTTTTTATCATTATTTTAAGTTAAGATTTTAATTATAAAATCTACTTCATTTTAAAGTATATTTTTATAATTTTAAAAAAAAAATTCGTTTAATTAATAAATTTTATTAAAAATAAATTTATTTTATACATAATAATTAAGCCCAATAAACATAATAATAACTATCATTAATATGCTTAATAATTTTTCATGCAGAAAGTAGTGGAAAATATTAAATGTTGAATCTTTTCCCACCTTTCAAGTTCAAAATTCAAATTTAAAAAGTTTAAATTTTAAGTATTAAAGATTTTCCCTTCCAATAGACATAATAATAAATTAATAGGCTTAACAATTTTCTGTGCAAAAAATAAAGGGAAACATTCATAGAGGTCTGTACACATTCTCCAAGTAATAGCTTCTAGGTAATCATTCACGACATAGAAAATTGTGTTAATTACACTCTTACATCAAAAGAATGAAAGTTTGATTTTTTCTAATATATTTAATTTTAAAATTTAAAATTCAACATGATAATAGAATTAATTATACATACTTTTAAGAAATAATTTTTTTCTCTTTTAATTTATATTATATACATATATATATATACATTTAAAATATTTATCTTAAGTATTTTTTAAAAAGTTTCTTGTATAATTTTTTTTTCCTTTTTGTATCATTATTTTTTGTTCAGATTTTAATTTACTTTATTTTAAAGTATATTTTTATAATTTTAAATATTTTTTTCGTTTAATTAATAAAAAAGAATTGAGATATTAATGCACATGTCTGCCACTAATTAATGCCTGAACTCTTTTCTTTAAGTCTTTTGATTTTTCGATAAATATGAAAAAAGTATTCAATGTTTTTTAAAATGAGGGTTAACAATTCCCATGTAAAAAATAGTAGAAATTTAATACGGTTGTCTCATACTAAAATATGTTAAATTCTTTTCCCATCTATACCAACTTCAAATTCTTTTCACTTCACACCTATCAAATTATTTCAATTTCAAATTTGAAAAGTTTACTAATTGATATAATAATTAAGCTCAATAGACATAATATATACATTGAAAATTTTACTAATAGATATAATAATTTCCCACTTAAGCTTCTTCAAACAATAAGTCACCGCTCATCTTGCCAATGGAAATCACGTCTCCATCGCCAATTTTTTTGTGAAGAATTAATGTTTAATTATGGAGCTTGGTTTTTGAGATTCTCTAAAGAGTGAGAAGAACAACACACCAATTTGAAAATTTATAGAATATTGGAGGGTTTAATTATATTTGCATCGAAGATGGTGCGCTTGTCATGGAAAAGCTAAAGGTCGCGTCACTTAGATAACGACTAATCACTTCTCAGAAACTATCCATATACTAATTATTTTAGAAAATGAATATTAAAAAATCTTTTTTCAAAAAATAATTTAATAAATGCAGAACGTATAAATAGTTGCTGCAATTACCAATGCAGAACATGTAATGGTATAATTGCTGCATTTTTGTTCTTTTTTAGACCCAAAAAATTAATTAATCTCAATAAACATACTAATAAAATGCCCCCTCTTATTTTTCAAATTAAACATGTTACATCATTAATTTACGTAATGAGTGTTAATATAGCACTCGCTATGAGTTACATCTCCAAGAAAGTTATGACTGTGCGTGCTTTAAAATCTGTTTGTAGGTAACATATACTATAAAAATCTGTTTGTAAGTAACATATACCATAATTGGGGTGCTATCTACATTAACGATAATTGATTAACATAACAAAGTAAACAACTCGAATTGTAGTGTAAGGCAAGAGGAACATATTATAAATGACTCTAAAAAAATTAAAACGTATCATTTTAGTTTTAATCTTATTAAAATTATAAAAAAAAAATATAACGAAAGAAATTAGCAATTATTATTAGTAAAATAAATGTAATGAATCTCGTATAATTTGGGTGTACAATGAGAAGCTACAAAAGATTCTATGGTTTGAGAAGGCATGCCTAGGTGGCTTTTCGAATGAACATGCCCAAAACGCGAGAATAAAAATCAAGGCTCACTTTGGGGTCTTTGATTCGAAACATATGCAATTGAAATAACAAATAAAAAAAATCAAAATTGAAAAACTAAAAGAGAGTAACCCATATCTTCTTCTTCCATCTAATATACTCACAAACCGTTCTTCTTCTTCTTAACCTTAATTTCATTGGTGATGTTGATTTTGTGGTAGATTGTTTGCTTTCACTATTATAAAGCCTTGATCTTTTAATTTTCCACCATTATGCATTTTTCGCGTTTTCCTCATTGATTACCCTGAAACATAAGCATAAAATGAGAAAAAGTTATAAAAACCCTGAAATATGTTTTCAACATTTTGAGGAGATTGATTATTTGCCAAGAAAGTTTGTACTTGATCTACATACCGCTCCCACAAAGTACACTCATGCTTGTGATATTCCAAATCCTTTCGTCGGCTTTGCTTTACAACAGAGCTGCAAAAAAAAAAAAAAAAAAAAATTATATGTTCATCTAATAGAAGAACAACTTGACAATAGCATGGATTCTTCCACCCTACAAAACGCATACATACAATTGTTAAAAAAAAAAAGCATATCACAATATTGTGTTATGGAAAAAAAAATACTTGTAGAAGAAAAAAAGATAGAGAAAAATGTCATACCTTCCTCTGAGGAAGTAAAGAAATACATATTCTAGTGATTCCAAATCATCCCGTCAGCTTTACTCTACAATAGTGCTACAAAAAAAATGAAAAATATTACATGTTTATCTAATAGAAGAAGAACTTGATAAGATGAAGAAGATAAATAGACAGAGAAGAGAAGAAACATATGCACAAAAGCTAATTATCAAATGAAAAGACCCAGTAACACATATTATATTTATACACAAAATAATTTCGTTTTTTAATAATTAAGCCCAATAGTAGGATATTAATGGGGTTAACAATTACCTATGCAGAAAGTAGTGAGATATTAATGATGACCTCTTTTCCCACCTTTAAGTTTAAATTTTGAATTTGAATACTTTTCCACCTACCAATGCAAAAAGTAATGAGATATTAATACTTTTCCACCTATCCATGCAGAAAGTAGTGGATCATTAATACATGTGTCTTCCACTATATATTTTGAATTATTTTTTCCACCCATTTCAAATTTCGAATTTCGAAGGTCATTAATACAGTTGTCTGCCACCAAGTATTTTATAATTTTAGAGACTCTCCCTCCTTTTTAGAATTTTTTATTTACGAAATAAATTTTTTTTCTAAAAGAAGTAACTTTTCAAACTATCCTCTAGTGTGAACACAAAGCTGAGAATGAAAGAGAGAGCGACACGTCAGCAAACTTTCCAAAGTTTGGTTCTCCTTTCTATATAGTAAGATATTGAAGAGTATTTGCAAGATATAATAAGATCAATTATGTAGAAGAAATGGTTTATGATTAAATAAATAAACTAATTTCTTTTTGTTTCTGAGAAAATTTGGAGATGAACTAATTAAAATAAAAAATGAAGATTACAAAGCTGGGAAACTAGAAGATGCAAGCCAACACTAAAAATTTTTTCATCTCAGCAATAGTTTAAGTGCTGTATCCTTACATCTAGACAGACTATTTATATAAACAATTACATTACATGAATTAGAATTGCTAAATAATGAAAATGGTACTATAGTTGTGTCATGTGTGTGTTGGGGGGGGGGGGGGGGGGGGGTGGGGGGCAAGGAGAGTGGCAGATAACTGTCAAAGTATAGGCCATGTCTTTACTTGCCCTTGAAAAAGAACAGCTTGAGTAACCTATGATGACAACCCAACACAGCAGAAGCTGATCTTCTTGTTCCCAATGAAGAGATTCTTCACTGAGTCTGCCAACAGCTACACCTTCTGTTGAGATGAGCTTTGGAGGTATGGTATGTGCACCAAGAAAATCATGCTGCAAGGGATGATGACCCCTGATGGTACTGTGACTTGTTACCTCCATGTGCGCCATGAGAAGCCGAAGGTGCGGTCTCCTTTGCCCGAGGATCTAGAACTACGATATCATTTTAGAGAAGCTAACATGTGAAATTCAAAATGTGTGTGTTAAATCAGCAAAAAAATGGAGGATATTGTAGTTGAGGAACTTCTTTTTTTCGGTGATATTGAGGAAGGAGAAATCAAAACAATGCAAACTTCATAACATTGTTAATGTGGTTAAGATCCATCATCAATAAAAATTAGGGGGCAAATTGCACGATTTCAAATTTCAAGGGGTAAAATGTACATCAAATAAAGTTAGTGAGGATACTATACCATAGCCTATTATTAATTATGAAACGAACTAATTATTAAAGAACTAATTCATGATGAATTCTCATAACAAAGGTCAACTAAAAGGTTCCAGAAAATATAAACTCAACAGAGCATGTATTCTCTTCACCACCAATTCACTTAGTTTTCAAAAATCCAACGCCAACTGTTCAGCAAAATTGAAACACAGCAGATTTTCCCCAAATCAAAACATCTCTCGTTAATTGATTCGATGATATAAAGAGTTGCAGATATAGAATGTGTTGCACTTGGAATCGGCAGAGTATCACCATTCTATTTAGTATAGTATTATTGGATGATAAACACGTGCCATTAAATATGCTAAGTGATAAAAGATACATACGATATTCGATCAAGTGAACACAAAATCTAAAGCTAAATCCCATTTTGAAGAGACGTAAATTACCGTACGATACATCTTCGAATTCTGATACAAGGTAAAGCTAACACATACCAGGTTGCTACCTATTATGAAGGCACAATAAAACTTCTAATATATTATTGTAGTTCGACATTACACAGAACATCCCACTCACATATATACATTTCAGCTCAAGAATACTATCGTATAACCTATAACTCACGCTACCTTGAAATAACAAGCCAAATAAAAGACCGAATACTACAATAGAAAACCCCAACAACCCACCAATATCTACCAAGCTAATGCATATTCAGTAGACTACTTGCTGACCTAAATTACGGCTAGGGACAACATCATTTACAGTTTTATCTAACCTCACAGAGGATAGCAAAGCATCACGACTGGTCAAAACTGTTTGAAAAAAACCATCCACTCCCTTTGCAAGAAGTTCTAATCCTTGTGAAAGCTTCTCTGCAGCCCTGCCTAATTCCTCAACAGTCTTCGGAAACGATTCTGTCTCAATGGTATCTACACCACCCTGGATAGTGGGATATAGTTCCTTCACAAAGGCATCAACCGCTCCCAACTCATTCAATACAGTAAATTTCCCACTGGAAAACCTTTCTCTAATTTCCTCATTTACAAGATTCTGCAAACTTTTAAAAGCTGGAGCCCATGAATACATGTCAGCCACATTCAAATCTAACAACTTCTTTGAAGAACCAGAGAATGCCGCAGCAAACACACTGCAAACAAATACAGTCTCCACCATAACTCCATACAAAGCTTGCATCAAAACCTTACCTTTAGCAGAATTTTTAACCTTGGGAAGATCAAGTGATCCCACAAGATTATTTAAAATGGTGCTACATTTCTCAATTCTAGGGTTCCTAGAATTAACATGTTGCCTCCATTCATCAAGGAAAGAACAGGCCCGAATAAACAGCTTTGAAGAAGCAGAGTCTAAATTGTGCAGTGCGCACTTAAGAGGAAGATTTCCTTGATTCAGACGTGAGAACTCAGAGCTATATGCATTGCATATATCTAGCAATTTCACACTTGTGTCCAAGTACACATCAATCCATTTGTCATCCCACTCACTCACGGGCAGCTCAAGATCTGTAATAAGGGTTTGTATGTCATTATGAGTTTCACAAAGTGACTTCATAGCTAAAGTCATCCAAGGCAAGCTAAGGATTTCATCCTTGCTTTTGGGCATAAGCTTTCTCAGCCTCTCTGCCAATGTTACCTCAAAAGCTTGTAATATTGCATGAAGTTGCGGAGACATGCGAGAGCCTTTAGGTGATATCATCCGAAAAGGATTTCCAAAAGGGAATAAAGATCGGGGTGGATGTGGATTCTGTGGGCGACTCATTTAGACGTTTTACTACAACAAGAAAAATTAAAAAGTAAGATATGTTGAAATTATAACATTTAGGTAGGGAGCAAGTAAAAGAGATAATATTTGTGCACACAAACAGTACACAACTATCAAAAGGTCTCAACACACAACAATAAAAAGGAAATATTAAGTCTTATTTGTGCACTGATAATTAAAACTATACATATGCCTTTTTACTAGCCAGTTTTGAAGCAAAACTAACAAAAAATAAATTAGATATGAAATTCTGACAATACTGCCAATGGCAGCATGACATAATTCCCACTCCTATAGCCACTATAAACAACACTTCTTCCCTTATCACATACCATTCTTTTAGTATTATGATAAACATTTAATTCACTTTTCAGTATTCAAGCTCAAACAAGGTATGAGATCATTTAAACCAATTTACCTTGCATTTGCAAGATGCTATTTACAAGAATCATCAAACCTGTGACCTCCGAGTCACATGGTGACAATATCAACCATTGTGCCAAGGCACACCTTCCTTGTCCCCTGCACAGAGCGGGAGCTTTATAGCACCGGGCTGCATTTGTTCCATCTTAAATAACCAGCGAATTAATAGTAAATCGTGGCAAAGTCAAATCCTCCCAATCATTAAAAGAAAAACAAAGAAAGCAAACCCATAACGGAATCAGAAATTAGCAGCCAACTAAACAGATTTTCCCTTAAAAGAAATTTTAAAGTAGATTTTAATCCCAATAGTTTTCACCGAGGGAACAAAACCTTTAGTATGAAATTATAGGAACCTATACCCAATAATAATAATAATAATAATAATAATAATTGGAACCAAAATCCAAACGAGGGACAACAATAGTAAATCCCAATATTCATAAAAAATTCTCTTCCTTCCAACCGTCAATACTATTCCTGTTCAGATCTAAATCCAAAAACTATAAAACTTCAAACAAAAGAAGTCAAATTCAAAACATCGAATCATGAACCACGCAAGTCTCAAAATTCATATAAAAAAAAAAAAAAAACTACCAAAAAAAGTCAAATCATCTAAACTTTATCAAAAACTTTTAGATCGTCGAACTAGAAACCAATCAAACCAAAGAAAATCACCGATTATCATATTAACTCGCAAAAAGACACAGAAAAAAAATAGAGGAAAAATAAAAATCCTAATTCCAGTTTTTTTTTTCGAAATAAAAATCAAAAGTTTTTTTTTTCACTTTTGGAAGCAAAGAGTGAAGGAGATAATTGTTACCTGAAAGAAGAATCGAAGAGAAAGAAAAAGTTTCAGAGAGATTCGATATCAGATAGAGTTTTCTTCTCTTTGAAATGTTCACGAGTTCTTCGTTTGTGGTGATTTTGATAGATCGAGTATGCTCGCCTGATTTTTCGTTGGGAAGGGGGACACGTGGAGTTACATTATTGGTCCGTCACGCCATCGGATACCTCTATTTGTTTTTGTTATTTTTCTATTCGTTAATCAGGTAACAACCCACTACGGAGAAACTTCTATTCTTCTGATTTATTAATGAGTAAAAAGTGTATCGTACTTTAAATTCTTTTACTCTCAACTCTCGTAAAGAGATGGGATTTAAGCATTTAAATTTTTCTCATCGATTTTTTTTTTATAATTTTTTTTATTTTCTCATTTAAAATGATATAATTTTATTCTTTTAAAATGATACAAAAAAATTTCATTATTAATTTCAGATTCAGACCATTATCTCTCAGTTTATTCCAGAAAAATATTTGTTTTTTTTTTTTAAATTACATGTATCCTCCTTCATTCACTTTTTAAGGGACTGTCTTTCAGTTAAAATTATTTTTTATTTAATATTTAAATTAAAAAAAATTCTCACTTTCTTTCATATAATTTTTGTGTCTCTTACAATAAAATTTAATACTTTTGATTAAATAACATACTTTTATATTTTTTAAACGAATAAAATTATCTTCAGTTGAAGATATAAATATTATCCAAAAAAATAAAGTTTATTTTTTTTGAAGATTTTTAGTATTTTTAAATGATTTTTACTTTTTCTTAACCTTGAATTTAGCCTTTTAAGCTTCATGCTAGCCAAGCACATGATTGGTTGGAGGTGCATACGCGTTCTAAGATAAGAAAATGTCAGCAGAGTGGGCCCACTCACAAGCAAGTTGACCAGACCATAGTTTTTATTTCCTGGTTTTACTCGGCAAAAAGGAACACTGACGAGTTTTTGACAATTTTTTACCAATATGTTATTTGAATAGTATATTTTTATTATATTGTTACGCATTGAAATTTGAAATTCGCTATGACTATGAGTGAATTTGATAGTGAATAATTTTGTCATACGTGACACATTTTAGCATTAAAAGTTGTCTGTCACTTATTCAAGTTCGTTACGATTGATAGAAACTTGGTAATCAATAATTTCGTGGCATGTGACACATTTGCGTAGGAAAAACTAACTAGACCAAGTTCGCTATTAGGGATAACGAACTTGGTGTGCTATGCGGCACACTCTCGTTGTCCAATAAGAATTAATGTACCAATCACAATAAAAAAACGAAGGAAAAATGTTATTTAATTAATGGAAATAGAAGTATAATGTTGTAGGAAAATGTTTAGGTAATGTTATAGAGATAGAGATGGTGGGACCCACACTTGTTTATTTTTTTGGTTTTTGAAAACAAGGGTGGGTCCCACCATCTCTATCTCTATAACATTACCTAAACATTTTCCTACAACATTATACTTCTTTTTTCCTTTAATTAATATACCAATCACCAATCACAATTAATGTACTAATCACAATTAGTGTACCAATAGGATTAATTTTGATTGTATTAATCACAATTAATGTACCAATCATCAATTATTTCGAAAGGCAATAACTTTTGATTCGGATATCCAAATAAGATATTTTTTATTTTATTTCACATAATTTTTCGAGATCTACGTAATGAAACCTCATTTGACATATTTTATCTCTCACAAACATCATTCGAATTTGTAACAATGGTATCACAAATAATTAATGTATCAATCACCAATCACAATTAATTTTGATTGCTACATTAATTGTTATCCGTGATTGGTACATTAATTGCAATCAAAATTAATTGTGATTGGTTATTGGTACATTAATTGCAATCAAAATTAATTATGATTGGTGATTGATGCATTAATTGTGATTGATAATTAGTACATTAATTAAATAGCATTTTTCCTTCGTTTTCTTCTTTTGATTGTGATTGGCACATTAATTCTGATAGTGCAACAAGATTGTGCCACATAGCGCACCTGGTAGCAAACTTCGTTCAGTCAGCTTTTCCTGCAAGAGTGTGTCCCGTTTGACGAAATTATTGGCTACCAAGTTCGCTACAAGTCGTATCGAATTTGAACATGTGACAGTCAATTTTTCCTGCAAAAGCGTGTCATGTGTCAAAAAAATCACTAGTTACCAAGTTCGCTACCAATAGTAGCGAACTTCAACACGTGACAGTCTGATGAATTTTACTGTTCACGTGATAGTCTGGTATATAAAAGGCAAAAGTGTGGCACATTGGCCATTGTTCTCGCCAAAAAAACAATGTTAAAAATATGTGATATAAGCCTTACTCTTGAGTATTGAAATCATACTAGCATTTTTGTTAAAAACTAGTGTAAAAATATAAAAACTTACGTTTTTACGTTTTTACTAAGGTGATACGTCTTAAAACGTAAGTAAAGACTCTCTTTAGTAAAAATTGATAAAAACAATTACGTCTAAAAACATAAAAACGGTGGAAACACAAGTTTTTATTTAAACCAAAAATCAAATTAGGTTGTTATCAAAAAAAAAAAAAATCAAATTAGGTCAACTTTTAACCCATGATTGGTTTTATCTTTATTTTTTTAATAAAATAAAAAAAACCTATTTCCATTTCCCCAAATCAAATGCATAGTATCTTCTTCTAGCTATTTGAAAAAACCAAATTCCTCACGCGAGGTCGCTGTATTTTCATTTAAGAGTTGTTAAACTTTATTCTTTTGATGTTGTGGAACTTGGTTATAGGCGTTGTTAAACTTTTTTTGTATTTTTGAACTTATGTCTTATATAGTTATGTGACTTATATATTTTAAATATGAAGTTATTCATTGAATTTTGAGTAGTAATTTATGTAAAAAAATTTACATGCATATATATATATATATATATATATATATATATATATATATATATATATATATATATATATATAATTTTATATCTTGATTCTTGACTTTAAGTAGTAAAAATTTTACGTTTTGTGTCATTTCTACGATTTACGTTTCTACCATTCCGTTCCATTTCTACGTAGAAACTAGATTTTGACAACATTGCATACCAGAAACTAACATTTTGTTTGAATATCTTTGTTATCTACATGATTTGTACATGAGATCCGATAAATAATTTTGGTATTGATATTTTTTGTATTTTAAGGGATAATTTTATTTCTATCATCACATTAAAATATTTAGGGTTCATATATTTTTTTTTCTCTTCTTTTCAAATGACCCTTATATATTTTTATATATATGTAAGAGATAAAATTATTTTTTATAATATAAGAAACATTAATTTCAATAATTATTATATGAACGAGTTCCTTTATACGTGTACAAAGTAATTTACTTTTTCTTCACAGGAAAGTAATTTGTTTTTTTGATTTACTCGAAGACAAGTCATGAACGTCAAAATTAGACTATTATTTACGTATCACGTATCCTTTTGCATCTAAATCAATTTCTTGAAGTTTTAGTTTAGCCCTTGTACTCCTGTGAATATCAATTTCATTCTTATAAGTTTCTAAAATTTAATTTCTCTAAAGTAAAGAGCTTTAATAATTAATTTAAAAAAAAATTAAAAGTTAATATTACAATAAACACTACCAAAAAAATAGGCATTTTTGCGGCGGTTCATTTTATATATATGTGACTGTTACAAACTTACAACCGCTGCTAAATACACGAAACTACGTCATTTTATTTATTTATTTTCATATATTAATTGATTCATCTTTGAATGGTTATGATTATCTTTTTTTTTTCTCTTCTTTTATAACCATTAATTCATCTTTATATGGTTATGATTTAGTAAGCATAGATAAAGTTATCTCAAGCAACTTGAGAAACGATAAGCCTATATATATATATAATTTATTTTTTTGCAGCCGCTTGACGTCCAACAAATAAATTCGAAGAAACATAATCATACAAAAATGAGTAAAAGCACTAAATACGAAAAATCATAAATAATCAACAGTATAAAATTTATTGTTGGACGTCTAGCAGCCGGAGAAATAATTTTACTAATGTATATATACGTATTATAGATTTTGAGGTAGTTAAAATCAACTTCCTTAATTTTTTAATAAATTTTTATAACTCTACGTTTTGTTTTATTAAATTTGATATAATTGGTATTGTAATTAAGTCTATTACGCTTGCTTAACTACGATGATTTCAAAACTCAATTTTTTTTATATGCAATGATGGGAATTGAACACATAATTTAATATAAATTATCCAAATACTCACCACTAAATTAATCTAGTGATTTTTAAAACTCGACTTCAAACTTGGCATGTGCAAGTACGTTGTATATGTCATTAATTACATGACTAATATGGATAATTCATAATAACTAGGAAATTTTCAAACTTCAAGGATTAACTTATTGGTGGATGTGAGGATTTGATGCAGCAACATGCATTTAGTACAACGGGTATACTCGAGTTCCATACTTGTATAGTTCTCTTTTCCCATTCGGGTAAAAAGGATATTAAAAGGACTTGACTCGTTCCAAAAATTAATTAGAGTCATGAAATTTAAAAAACTATTATTTTTTCATATAATCACATTTGTAATTTTAACTATTTTTTAAGAGCATATGAATTTTTTTATTTTATTATGTTAGTATTTAGTGTACTTATCTTGTAATGATAAGAAAATTTTAACGTACTTAAATGATTATCAATGAAATTCATTGAAATTAAATTAATTTGATATAAGTTCAGTTACTTTTCGATGTATTTATTTTAAGGTTATGAGAATATGAGAATATTAAAGTTTTAAGCAAATTACATTTATTGAATTTCAAGTGAATTTTGCTATTGTGAAAATTGGGTTAATTTTCAATGTATGTAATTTTGGAATGATGAAAAAAGAAATAGTAACTTGAATTTTGAGCTAATTAAAAAAAATTAAAGTTTAATACATATATAGTTATAGATAGATTATGGGTAGAAGTTGTACTATTTTAAATTTTGAGAGAATTGTTATATGACAAACTACTCCACATTTAATATTGAGAATTAGGAAGAAGAAATACCACAAGC